ACACACACACACACACACACACACGCTCCCCCTACCTGACCCTGCGTCTTTTTGCCAAATTAAAGAATTTAAAAACTAACCAGTGTTGAATAATTTCAACAATCCGGAGAATTTAATAGTTCATGACATAAGGAATCAAGCCTATATGCCTATAAGAATTACGCAATGACAAAAATAAATGGTTAAATGCACGTATTATTATTATTATTATTAAATTGAATGAGGCTGGGGTAGGTTCTTGTGTAAACCCACCGGTCACAGAATAGACCGGTATAGGGACCGGTCCCTACTTGACGACGATCAAATTTCCGACTTTTCTTTAACAAATCTTTTGCTGGTGACTAAGCAAATTCTAAAAAGTCTGCTCACAAGCACGTGGCAGACGTCATACCAGTCGTTACACCAGATTAGATGCACAGGCAAGGTGATTTGGGAATAAACATTAAGTGGGTCGTGGGAGGAATTTAAGGGGTCACGAGCACATTTAAATAAGAAAAGGTCCGGTTGTAGATTCCACTGCGCAAGCGCGTTGGTATTTCCACAGAAGTCTAAAAATAGATAGACTAAACGGGGAGAAGGGAATTCCATGATCTCACGGTCGTAGGAATCAACGCGGAAAACGAAACGTATGGCAGAAGTTTGTGACTATTTCACCGATAAAGACGTATAACTACACAGTCCTCTAGCTAGAAACGTTCTATTCATGTTTGATATCCTTTCACAACATGGTCGATCGAGAAAGAGCTCTGGGGAGAAGGGCACGCGAGCACTCTGGCGACGGTGACAGCTCTGTACGAGCACAAGGCATGCCGCTGCTGGAATGTTCGTTAATACCACCAAGACCGACAGCAGGCCTGCCGATTCCCAACGCCGCTGCTCACTTTTTAGCTCGAGAACTAGGACATTGCTCACAGTGTGGATCTAATAGTTCAACGGCTGTTTCTTCGGTGGCTTCGGACTTAGACAGTTACGGATCAGGAAGGGATTTGCTCCCACCGCCTTTATCCTGCTCGAGATCGAGACAGGTTTATAACGGCACGCCGGTTTACGATGACATTGAGGGAAATAGCCCTGTTCAGTGTAAGAAAACGTCGAGGACGACACGATGTTTATGTAGCCTATCCGTTAAATGTCTGCTCACTTTTATTTTAGTCATAACTTGTATTGCTGCAGCAGGGACAGCATTTCATTTCTTTAAATATAAGCCCGATATGGAAAGACTGCAGCAAAAGATAGACAAAACAAAAGACTTGGCGAGGTTAAAACAGGTATGGTATTCTTCATTTCATATCTGTATATCGCTACTGAAATATATTTGGGGGGGGGGGGGGAGCGCAGTTCAAATTTTGATATTAAATTGAGTTCTCATTTTACGTTTTAGTAACGGATGGACGTATAGTGTTAATTTAAAGGCGAAAGAGCCCTAGAAGGTGAATACGTTTAACAGGACTTGCATGTTTAGGTATGCGATAGGGGTGTGGTTGGTGATTTACAGTTTATCGTTCCCACTTCACTAACCAACTTTTATTTTAGTCTGTCATTATCCATAGATATATTTGCTTCAGTTTTTTTTTTCTAATGTGAATCCCCTCCCCATTCAAAACTGTCTGAACGCGTTTTTGCAATGATTTCATTCCACGACTTTTTCCTCTGTTTTGTGTGCCTTTTGTTTAATTTGGTTTCAATTTCGATAAAACTTGCATCATTGTTTCATTTTCGTTTTCAGTATAATGGTGAAAATTTGAAGAACGCACGCCAGTTAGAAGGGGAAGGCCCCTCTGCATTCCTTTATGGGAAGAAGCCAGAAAGAGGTAAATTTCACTGTACTTTTGAAATATTTGTAAAAGAGATAATAGACAAATAAGTTTTCAATATAGCCTACATTGAAGATAAAACAGGCAGTTGGGATTAATCAAATCTTTCATTTAATTCTTTCAAACAAAAAAGTTTATTTTCCAATGTTGGAAAAACCTCATCTAAAATAGAAAATTATTCTCCATAAATAAAAGAATTGAATGCCTCAGGCGCCTGTCGTCTGCACACTGCAGTCGTTCACACACCTGAGCGTCGTTATCTTAGCGTAACGAGGTCAACATCGGTCACTTTCGCGGAAGTCCGGAAATTCCGAAGTTGTGAGACCAGCGTATTGCACGTTACAGGTGTATTAGTATTCCATTGAATAGTTTGTTTTATAAACATACCTTATAACCGCAGTGAGTCATCGGATGAGATAACAATTGCAGAAGAATTTCGAAAGGGTTTTAGGGGTTTACATACAGAATAGGCCCGAGGTTTTGATAACTTTTGGCCTTTACTCATAACTCGGGTGAATATAATTGCGATTTTGAGAAACCATATCATAATATTTGCATGTGCAACTGAGACAATTTAGTTTTATTATCTCACAATGGGTATTATTCTCCATTCGTATGTAATCGATAGGGATATCCGATATATTGCCTAGTCTAATATGACAGATCCAGGGGTAGGCCTATTTCGAAAACCAAAAGTAAAGTCAACTAGAGCTCGTCGTACGACAATATAGAAATCACCCAGTTTCCTTCTCAGCATTAGACCACCTAAGTCAACAAAAAAGCAAATATGCGGAGTTGAACTCATATGAACTGAAGACATCTTTTGTCAGTTTATGAGCTGGGGTATTCTAATTGTTTTCTAAAATGGCTTGAAAACTTTTTAAAAATTGTGTAACGTTCTTGGAATGCAGATGCATTAGGTTATCTGCATTTAAGTAAATAAATATGTAAAAGACGTAGTTGGTTGCTAGGTTTATTGTTAATAGCCATGTCAGAAATAACACACAAAAAAGAGCTGAATTGAAATGTTCGGAAATAATGTTTTTTTCTAAATATCGGGAGAGAAGAACGAGAGAGGGAGGAAAGTGGAAAATGACAGGAAACAAAAGGAACAGATAAATAAACAAACAAAAAGGGGGGACAAAAAAAATAAATAAAGCAAAAGAAATGAAAATCAAGCCAAGAAACATTTTTTTTTAAATCTTGAGATCCAGTCGTAAGTTAATAATTATATCCTTTTTTATCTTATCGCAGGTGATCCAACACCGATTGTGTGGGACACAGAAACACGACGAAAACCCCGCAATACTATTCTCAAGAATATCACCGAGCACAAGATTCGAAATGACCATCATCTTAGGGTACACCAACGTGGAATATATCGGGTTCAAAGCCACCTTTGCTTCAAAGTTCAAGTGGACGAAGCAGACGACATCTCGAGCACCTCACTGACTACGAGCGACGGGGACGAGCGAGTCGACAGAGGGCGCTCCAAGACGTTCTTACATTTTGTGATAAGAAATTGCCAGGGAAACGAAGATGAAGTGTTGAAAACTTTGAAGCTGGTTTATCTGCTGCCGGGAGAGGAGTACAAATACTGCAGCGATCTGTCCGGCCTTGTTAGAATGGACAGTGGCTGCTCTTTGTACACTAAAATAAAATGTGAAGACGACTCAAGTGACCTTACACAATATATGGTGCATTATAATTGGAACTTTTTTGGATTAAACAAAGTGTGACGGTTGCTGTTCTTTCAAAATAAGTGGATTTTTTCCTTTGAAATGATACCAAGTGACAAATAACATCCGTCCTTTTTATTTTTTTCTTTATTTCAATACATTTTTCATGACACTGCTTGAAGATTTTCAGAAAAAAAATTAATATATGTTATAATTGTGCTTTTATTATTGTAACTTTTTAATAACTCCCAACTGCATGAATATCATATATGTCATCTTATTGCTTTTTTATTTTATCGGAAATTGATATTATGTACGTATTTGTATTATATGTATATATACAAATGTATTTTGTACATTATGCTGACAATATAAGGAAAAAATAATCCGATGTAATACTAATTTATTGATTTATTTTAAAATTTTAATGAATTGGTTAATTCATTTCATTATTAATTTGAATTATGAACGATAGTGTAAATATTGTAAATATGTACATAGATCCGAAGCGGAGTTAGTTGTAGAAGGAAAAAAAAACAGTGTGCTGGCCATATTGTTCATTTCTAAGGGAATAAAGACAACAAATATTAACTCTGTGGTTCAATTTCTGTCGACTTTAGAGCGCTTTAATTCTAGATCTTTTACATTGCATGCATATTAATTTTGACCCTACGCCCCTTTATAATAGACCGAATCGCCTTTTAAAAACATGGGTGGGAAACAGGTCAGGAGTGGCGGATTTAGAGGGGGGCTCAGGGGGGTCCTGACCCCCCCCCCCCCCCCTCCTTTCAGTCTCTGAAAAAATCACACTTATGGTCCCCCTTGAAATTAGAATTTTGACTAGATGAATCATAGTTCTAAACCGTACCAAATGGCACCTTTCGACCTCTGAAATACCAAATTTAGGGGGGAGCATTAAGCGGGACACGAATTCCAACCTCCCCCCCTCCAAGGGAGGGGGTGTCGGGTCGGCTTTGCATCTGCGGACCCCTTTCAAATAATCCTAGATCCGCCCCNGGGGGGAGCATTAAGCGGGGCCCCAAATTCCACCCCCCCCCCCCCCAAGGGGGGGGGGGGCGGGGCGGCTTTGGATCCTCGGGCCCCCCCCCCCCCCCCCCTTTCAAATATTCCTGGATCTGCCCCTGGGTCGTGATCGTAGAGGTGGACCAGCTGAAATTTCTGAAAACTCAGTTTCAACCTACTGATACGGCCCGGAATCTGTTGACTTCGGTCTTTTTCTTCCATCTCATCTCTCCGACTTCAAAGCAAAACATCCACCCCGCCCATGCATGTATTTTATTAAATAACAAGTTGGCATAACTGTTCGGCGGTTTGTGTCTTTTCTCACTCAAATGCTTGATAAAAATAAAAGATACGATGAATAGTAGGCTTCTAAATCTGAATATATCAATTTAAAGAAAATCTTTCAACAAAACGTGCCAAGTTTCAAGCAGTAAAAAAAATCATTCAGACCAAAATGCCAAATTGACTTCCTGGTTCGACGAATTCCCACGTTCAACATTGCCCCATTGGATTTTTCCCAATCGATTTGTGATCGAGTCATGTTTCTATTCATAGGCATCTGGAAAGTTTACTTCTTACTCCCGCGCAAGGGCTTTTCCTTCATTGCCTACTGGGCCGTAACTCAAACAGAGGCTGGTAGTGGTAACTGAGAAAATACACAGTAGATTATTTTGCTCTCCCGGTTTAATTTTACCGACTTTGGTCGCACAATATAATTTTCTGAAAAATAATAAAATAATAACGGTATTTAGTGGCAGCTTTAGTGGGGGTGTCAGGAGGGTCCTAGCTGACCCCCCCCCCCCCCCCCCCCC